GGGACCGGGTCCCCTAGTAGGGGTGCTTGGGCTGGTATGGAGCTTTTTTTGTACCAGTGTACCAGAGTACCAGTAGTTTGTATTGGCAAACAGTTTTGTACCAGAACAAGTATGGCTCCGCGGGTCGCCATCGCATATTGTAGTGAACATTCGCCTATCCGTTTACAAAACCCGCTCGATGACGCTCGATGCAGAGCGACTGGACGCAGCGTGCGTTGAGTATGACGTTAGGCTCCGCACACAACACATAGCGTCGCAACGCGAACGCCTCGAACGCGGCGCGAGCGGCGCTTCTTTTTCGTTTTGAGGCAAAAACACCGGCAATCGAACGAACTGCGTGAGCGCGCGCGCCGGGCGAGCGTTCACGTAGTTTGGAGAGAACAAGCCAGTTTTTGTTGGCATATATTATTGATAACGGTATCAAGCACGAAGAACCCATTTCTGTCGATCTTACGTTTGATTCAGACGACGCAAGCGATCCGGTGGCGCGCATTTTGGACGACGAAGGTCTGCATGCCTCACTCCCTTCTTCTCTCCCACGGTAAATTTATGTTGCAAAAGTTGCGACCCCCTCGATTTGCCCTGAGTTGTAACTCAAGAAAAAAACGCGAAAAAAAAGACCCCTCCACGAATTCACGAGTCACGAATCGTGCCATCACTTTTGAAACAGAGGTTAGTATATATTTTGGTTTTCAGCGGTAACGATATACGTGAATGCTCTGACTCTACCTCTAGGTTGGTGGCATCACGATCTATGGGTCGTGATGCCGGTGCGCATCACGATGTCGTGATGCAGATCGTGATGCTATATTGAGGGCACTTAAAGCATATCATTTGCTGATATTGACAGGTATACCTCACTGATAGTAATCACGTGACTGATAATAAGACATGTCGTCACCGATGTCGAGGAAATACAGCGATGATATAAGTAAAATGTGTCACTATTCTAGCCCTAGCACCCCGCGTCGAAACGGTTGGTGAAAGCTTGAACAGTGGTGCAAGCCATGCGTCACATATTATACCTCTATTTAATCTATCATGTATTTTTTTATGTAAATTCGGACAATCGGACAATTTCCTCCAAGTTGGCATCACGACGCGACGGTCGTGATGCTGACGCCCATCACGATGTTTCGGGTCGTGATGCAGATCGTGATGCCGTTTGTACCCAACCTAGCTCTACCTACATCAAAGCCACAACTCAATTAGAAAGCACGGTCCACCAAGTATTCGTCAAAGTTGAGAGAACAGAAGTAGCACAACTATTCAACTTTTTCTGCATCAGGTGTCACGTGCATCGAACAATTCGTCGAACAATTCATTCTCAAGTTTGTTCACCTTACTGCCGTATTGCAGCGCGCGTTTCACGCGTTTTGATGTGCATGACAAACCAAGGGCACGTGCTAGCGATCTAAGGATCATTTTATCGCCTTCTCCGGGCGGTAGCTTGAAGTCAACTATGTCGTAGATAGCTGCGCCAGACACCATATGAACGAGTTCTTCATCAAGAAAGGGGTATCTAGCCTCTCGGCTCGAGTCTGAAACAATTCTATCATCTCTGCCCATGTTCCTTACCCAAAGACGTTCCATATCCATATTGAGTTCCTCGGCAAGTTTCGAGAGTCCACCCCGGTCGAAAGCAAGCTTATGCCTGCGATAGCCTCCTAGAATCTCATCTGCACCGTTACCTAGAAGCATAATCTTTGCTTCTGAGTCGTAATTTTCCAGTGTTTCCGTTGAGTCGTCAGTGTTGTACAGTATTGCATGGCCACGAGCCCTTGAAGCAAACCAAAGCGCAACACCAATGTTGTAGTCCATTTTTTTATCTTGTGGTTGTACCAGGGAGACGATGTGCTTCAACTGGCAGAAAACCTCGCTCTTTTCGACGTTCACCTGTATGAACCTCCAACGTCTACCAGGAGATATGTTTCTAAGCTCTTGCAGCGCCTCAATAGCAGCAAGCCTGTCTGGAGAACTTCCACCATGAAAGCAAACATTGCAAAGATCAATCACTTGGTCGAATGGCATGTGTCTATGAGCCAACGTTGCAAGTGTTGTACTATCGAGCCCACCTGAGAATAAAATAGCTACTGAAGCAGATCTCGTGGATGTAGATTTATGCCATAGATTTCGATTATTTGCATAGACACGCGTTCTTACAGCGCGATCGATGAGATACTGAAATATCCTCAAGGAGGAATTAGCGCTTCGAAAGGCATGAACAGACGTCCGTGTGTACATCACTTTCCTTGGAGAGTATCCATCCGGTAAAGGGTATGAGTCGAGCACTAACATCGGCTCAGTCAAGCGTATACAATGAAGGCCACAGCCAAGTTCGGACCAAAAGTTTCGTACTGAACCGGTGGTTCCGGTTGAACACACAAGCAAACGTTCATCGTCGCTGTCTGGGAAGTGTAAAACTAAACTTTTTCGTCCACTTCGGTCTTTTCCTATCAAAATGCAATTCTGCTTGATGTCAACGTATATAAACGCCCAAGGTCCACGCAGTCGTGACAGAAGCTCCAGCTTTGAGGTCAACGTTCTGGAGTCACCAAGTGCTCTAAAGAGAGAGGCAGTGTCACTTCGAGCAAAGGCCTGATGCGGCAAACCGCCGTAAATTTCACCGTTAAACGCTAACACACCTTCACTATTCGATATAAGTGGACTTCGGGCCTTTTCATTCCCTCGAAACTGCAACAGCGTTGCGCACAGTTGTACTTGGAAGTTACGGAGGTTTTCGGTGAAAGTCCCACAGCCGTCAGGACCACGTCGAGACAGTGAAGTCAAGAGACCGATGTCAACATCTGGGGAAATTCTATGTTCGCGTGACTTATATTTACTATCCGTTGGGACGGCGTGGCAGACGGACAAACTAATTCCACACATCAGCTCTGACACTCAACAATAATAATAAAAGAGACCACCACTCAGCGAGTCACGATGTCGAGAGTACAGTTGCATTAACGATCTAGTATTCAATGCGACGCGAAACTTGGCTATCGCGCGTAAAACGTATGTTCGTGTCTCCACTGCGAGTTTTGTGACCCGCGGGGGCATACCTGTCTAGTACAACAGTACAACACTGTTGACAGTAACGGATATCCGGTCGGGCGATGATCCCGCGATTGGTAGGGTTTAGTCAGGGTATAGAGTTAATGTTCTTTCGTGTATAGTTCTGACTACAAGGAGGCTGAGGCTAGGGAGCCAAGTTGGCAGCATCCCAGGACTGGACAATCGGAGCCGGACATATGGCATTTACTTATAGTTAGGGTTTAGAAATCGCGACGCGAGTTTAACGCTGTAAACGATCGCACGCGCGTTTTTATCGCCCTCACCCCACAAGCCGATAGCCCACCACACTCTGGCGTCGGCGTAGCCATTTTTGCCAGGGTCCAACACGGTGACGTTCCCGGAATTTTGAGGGCGGGTTGCGGCTTGCGCTAGTCGGCTGTTCTACACTGTTATACAACTTTTTTGCGGCGCGACAGCGAGGATCTTTCGGGCATGGTTCAGGACGTTTAGTTTCACATTGAAATGCACGTATGCGTCGGTGGCGTGTGCGTCCCATGTACCGCGTTGCTACCTTTGCTTTACAACCTACTGCGGAAGATGATATCACTCACGTCACGACGCAGTTCTCGAAGTTGAGCAAGACTTGTTGTAGACTAGAGTGCTAATTAAAATCTGTGAAGGGACGGCGCGCCGCAATCTTGATACGCTACTGCGATTGCAACTCACCATCCACGAAATCAAACACGTGAATCACAAGGTACTATTTGTTGAGCTTGATCACGATGCACGCAACGTTGTCCTGTGTTCGGCAACGTAGAGCTCTCGCCACCAAAGCATCAGCAACTGCCTGCATACTTTTATCAGGTGTCTTTTTCAGCTCAGTTCGGACGAAAGTCACTGCTTGTGCGCCGTTCATTGTATCCCATAGCCCGTCTGTTGCCAAAATCAGGAATTCATCCTCACTTGATCGTGCTAACGTGACGCAGTGCGGTATGGATATCACTGGAGGTGTTTGCATTGTTGCTGTGGCTGCCTGTCTATCATCCATGTCTTGTAACTCAGCGAGAAGCTCGAATCGCCCCCCTTTGAACTCATAGTCTCCCAGTGCGCGGGTAACAGCAAGAACACCACACACTCTACTTTGAGAAACCCAACCACCAGCTTCAACTACACGCTTAATTTCACCTCGACCAGAGGTAGTCAATGTCGTTGGACGATGATCAACACTGAGTTCAATGGGTTTTCCAGCACGGCACAAAACAGCTTTACTATCTCCCACGTTTGCACAAGTCAACCGCAAAGAACCTACAAGGCACATCGTAGCCGTGCTACCACTCCAACACTCTGGATCACCAAGACTAGCTATGTGATCGATTAATGCGCTGTCCGCGGTCTCAAATACGTCTGTAAACAAGTTTTTAGTGATATCATGTAGTTCGTCTACTGTAACGGTTGCGTCGCTGAGAAGTCTTCTATTCTTCATCAATACCGAGCTGATGAACCCGTAGAAGTTGGACCGTAGATATTGCGAGCTACCTGAACCGCCGTGTCCATCGTAGACCGATGCAAAAATGTGATCCCGGCCTTTCATTACCTGATATGTGTCCTCCATGCATTCCCGAGGCCCCATGTCATCGCACACTCCCCAATCCAGATCCAAGCCCGCTTTCAGAGCACCTCTGGGTTTGCCCACTTCTTCTCTAGAGAGCCCACGACGTCCTTCTCCAGACGCAAACTTGGACATAAGCAACGCAGACAAGCATATGGAAACGAATCCTATGACTTCCTGTTCTGTTTGCATCCATCCCGCGTAAACAGCGCTTGTCGGAAAGTGCAGCTTGGACCGAGTGATCTGCCCGCGTACTGGGAGAAGTTTTGTAGAGCTGTTCGTCTTCCACCGCGAATCAAACGAGCCATATCGTGGTAATGCACGGCGCATAGAAGTTGTTTGAGGGGGAATATGGCACCACGAGCTTCTCACCAAGGACTCTGACTGTTTCAGCTTTAGCCCAGTGTGGTGAGTGACGAATATAGCCACGGCCGACGGGCGCGGCTAAATCACACTGAGAAGCAACGTTTTACCATTCATTCATACGTATATTAGTCGCTTTCACGAGCATACGTATTGTCACCATCTAGGTTGGTGGCATCACGATCTATGAGTCGTGATGCTGATGCGCATCACGATGTCGTGATGCAGATCGTGATGCTATATTGAATGTATATAAAGTCTATCATTTGCTGATATTGACAGGTATACCTCACTGATAGTAATCACGTGACTGATAATAAGACATGTCGTCACCGATGTCGAGGAAATACAGCGATGATATAAGTAAAATGTGTCACTATTCTAACCCTAGCACCCCGCGTCGAAACGGTTGGTGAAAGCTTGAACAGTGGTAAGCCATGCGTCACATATTATACCTCTATTTAATCTATCATGTATTTTTTTATGTAAATTCGGACAATCGGACAGTTTCCTCCAAGTTGGCATCACGACGTGACGGTCGTGATGCTGACGCCCATCACGATGTTTCGGGTCGTGATGCAGATCGTGATGCCGTTTGTACCCAACCTAGGTCACCATACCCGAAGAGTGTAACTCGAGGGTCGGTGACCCTCCCGCGGTATATGGATTTTGACACGGCGCACACGACGAGTCGTGAATCGACCTCTTTTGGGGGCTCTAAAATCCCGGCGAGGGGGTACACGAGAGAAACGCGAGTCACGATCCGTCGAAGACCCCTCGTTGACGCGACGAGTCGCGATGCGTTGGGGAGCTGATTTTCTGGGCCCGCGCGCGGCGACGGCGACAACGCGAGCGCGAGCGCGGACGCGGACGCGAACGGTTTCGTCTGCCGATCGCGCGCGCGCGCGCGTCGCGGCGTCGTAAGGAGGCGCGACGCTAGGGCGAGCAATGTTGACCGTAAACCCTATTTTCTAGGGTTTAGAAAACACGGCGCGAGTTCACGCCGCGGATCGATTCGTCGACGTTTTTTCACTTTCCTCTCCAAATTTGAGCGATTTTCGTCGCGATTCGGCGTCGCAACGCGCGTTAAGGTGCAAATTGATGTGATTGCATGCGATGATGTGAATCATCGATTGGTCTCCACAGTGCGACCGCTCGAGCGTCGACGGCGCGCGCGAGATTCGCGGTAACGACGGAAGAAGTTCGCGCGTTCGAGAACTCCGCGTCAGGCGATCGAGCAAGCTGTCGTGCGGGGCAGCGTGACCGATTTTTGACGTATCTCCATGTGGCGTCGTGAATGCATCTTTAGTGACCGATGCAGTTGAATCGCGCAACATCTTCACCCTACCTACCTCGACGCCGCACGAACGTTGTAAACAGTCACGACACCAATCACTGCCGATCTCGCCGTCTGAAAGCGTCTACAGCGTTCTCCGTCGTCCAAAAACTACCTTTTCCCATACATTTTTGAAAAAATTTGTTGCGACTCGGAAATTGCTCGATTTTACCGAAATTTGCCGCGCGCCGCGCGTCGCTACCGCGAGCGTTGAAACGAGAGGTTTGAACCAACGGCACGTTAATGCTCACAACGCGCCATCGAGTGACCGCTCGGACGGCGCCGGCGCGCGGGTCCAGAAAGTCAGCTCCATGCGAATCCATATACCTTTGGGGGGGGGATAATTCCGGTTCCTGACTCGTCAATGGTACCTGATGTATACATTGTTCACGTCACGGGCATTAAAGGCAAATCTTTAACATCGTATGGTGACCACGCGCCAGCGCTTACTTGTATAATGAGACTTGTTTGTCCGGCAAATTATGGGATTCCCATAATCGGGATGAACTTAGGTTAACTAGGTGGTGGAAGAGTAATTCCGGGGGATAGACTTTCATATCTCACAATACAATGTGTCGAACGACGAACACGAATGGGGAGAGATAAGACCGGGCTTCCGGTTACGATCGCTGGTGCTAGGAGGCGCGGCGTGTACCGCGTTCGTCATAGACTGCGCGATAAGTCTTCGACAATAATGCTTACAATTTTATCTTCACTCTCGCCAATCTGCAACCTCTCGCCACGACGTGCCGGTACGTACGCGCTTCAACCGCGAAAGATACGGTATGATCGCGTATTTTCGGGCTACTGACGAGTTTCTTTCGCCCAGCAGGTCCGCGACAAGCGAGCAACCAACGCCACGGTATGTGAATACGCATAAAGTTTCCATGCGAAACCTACCCGAATTTCTAGGCGAACGCTTGTTTCGCAAAGTTCTAGTTAGAGGCTCTCACTTGGCTTCTTCTTCACACGTTCCCACTTCTTGACCAAACAAATGCCTAACCTTATCCAGCAGGTGTCACCGTGAGAGCTACGCCTCAAGAAGCGGGTAAGCAAGTCTTCGGCACATCCATGCTTATCTCATCCATGAACACCGTGCTTCCTGCTCTTGCCATCGTACGTTCTTCGACTATTTTGCAGTGGACCATCCTCACAACTTTCCCAGGTGGACGATAGACTCAACGGCGATGGCACTGGTTTACCGCTCGGCATTAATGATGGTGCGTTGGGTATTATCTTGGCGTCCGTTCCCTTGGCCATTTTCAGCCTGTACTTCATCGCTGGTAAGCAAGATGCTGGCATTGAAAATGGTGGCAAGAACGATGATAGTGGGCTCTCCTTGTAAAGCTACCGGCTCACGATTCGAGTGCCGTCAAACCGCGACTTCGGCACCTTCTTGAGAAGTGCTTTTAGCAACGTGATGGACGCACGGTTTCATGCGTACAAGCTATCTAACTCTTAATGAAAGAAGAAACACACCAACTCTGCCGGCCCTCTCATCCCGTGGGCCCAGAATGGAGCCACCGTAGTGATACTAGTGACATCACAATAACGCTATCACGCGTTCGAAATAATACTCGCTCGCTATGCGACTTCGACGGAGGTTGCATTTATTGCTTCTTATTTAAAAAATGACTTCCTTACTTCTGAAATCGCGCAAGCTCACTTGAACTTACGACCGCTGAAAACTCTAGCTGGGGTTCGTTCACGTGATAATAAAACAGTGTTACGCATATGGTTCGAATACACATCTAGGTATCAGAGTCACGTCAAGCTTTGTCGAGCTTTCACAGTGCACTCCGAATTTAGATCCCAGATGCATACATTGGGATCCCTGAAGCTCGAACAGCAATATCAGCTGGATGCTCAATGATGGAGTCTATCAGGCCATATTCCAAAGCCTCCTGTGCTGACATGAAAAAGTCACGATCCGTATCTTCCATAACCTAAGCGAAGTGTGATATTGAAGTTTTGAGAAAGTCAAAGCGTTGATTCCGCACCGTCTGCAGTGGTTTTTTGGTGAACTCTGCCAGGTAGCCATTCAGCGTTGACTTGTGGTGCTACGTTGAGCGGGTATAAGAATAACTCATGAACGCAATCCTTGTTTCGCTTACCATAATTTCATTCGCCTGTATTTCAATGTCCGCAGCCTGACCTTGAGCACCACCAAGAGGTTGGTGAATCATGATTCTACTGTTCGGCAAACTGTACCGTTTGCCCTTTTTTTGCACATGTTGATGAGGGTCAGTATGATAGTTACTTGGGAATGAGACTCGCATATTGTACGAGCTTTGCACACGCACCGCTTCTCCAGAAGCAAGCAGAAAAGCACCTAAGACTATTCAGTTTATTTCCTTCACCTTGTGAAAACGTTCACTCACCCATAGACGCCGCGAGTCCCACACAAACTGTGGACACGTTTGGACGAATGTGTCGCATAGTATCGAACACAGCCATACCAGCTGTAACAGAACCTCCAGGAGAATTGATGTAAAGGGTTATGTCCTGAACGTCAGGTTTCAAGAACAGGTAGTGCTCACTTTCATAATTTCACACCTTGTCAGGATCAGCAGCATCTAGCCAGAGTAATTGTGCGACGATTAAGTTACAGCCGTCGTCATCCACAGCGCCTCCAAGCCGTACAATGCGCTGCGAAGCATGAATGAGAATGAGAAACAAAAAAAGCTCTGATAAAGGGGTAAGCGTGTGAGCAAAGTGCCTGTCAAGCGTTTGTTCTGCTTCACTTCGACGACACAGTGCACTAAAGCACACAGTAGCGGTACTTACCTGTGACATGAGTTGACTCGCGACGCTCTGAAATCTTTCGACCACAATAGGTGATGGTCCTTTGCCTTGCTGGTCCACAACATATACACCGCTGGAATCCTTATTATGAATACCTGAATGAGTGGGAACGAAATACTTACTTCGACGTCGCCCGAAGAACAGTAACCGTGTGGGAACGGCAGTTCAATCGCGAGGGATGTACTCTAGTCCTAGCAAGAGACTCGAGAGACGAACTGGTCAGTGAACAACAAATTGATGTAGGGTTTCCAGGCCGCGATAGTGTGCAAACAGCCGTTTACGCATATAATCGGGTCTCCATAAGCGTATCAAGCGCCGTAGCATCCATTGTATCACCTACCTAGACGTGCCATTGAGCGTGTACAGCGACTGCGCGCCCGTGTGCATCTTGTTTCGGAGTATAGAACACTTTGAGTAGAGACTCGGGATCCGCCTTCTCTGAGTGCTTAGTCAAAGAGGCGATTGTGGAGATTTGTCCTCGACGTCGACGTCGACTACGAATTCGAAGTGTGTACGGCTTCGCGGCTTTACGCGAGCTGCAGTACTGCGTGCCGTCGCCCAGTGAGAGTTACGGGTGCCTTCAGTTTTCTTCCGAGTTGTTCCTTTCGACGAAAGTGTCGAATGACAGGCAAGGACATACGCTATATACTATGTACTCGTACAAGGACATACGCTATATACTATGTACTCGTACGAGTAAGAGCACCAAACAAAGCATCTAGGTTGGGTAAAATCACGATCACGATCTAAATCACGACCCGAAACTTCGTGATTTGAATCACGATCACGACCCATAGATCGTGATTTAACCTTT